TGTATATATATATGTATGTATATATATATATAATATGTGTGTATGTATGTGTATATGTGTGTGTATGTATATTAGTGCTGGGCAACGATTACAATTTTTAATCGTGATTAATCGCATGATTTTTTTTGCGATTAATCTCATTGTTATGTGCAAAGTTCATGAATTCAAAAGTAGTGTATTGTGCACTTTTATTTTAAAGTACTGCTATATGAACAAAGGTCAATAACATTTGTTTTGCAAACACTTTAAACACATCAGGTTTTTGTTAGCAGCAGTGTTCCCTTTACACAGCAGCAGTTATAACAGTTATAATGATTCTGATCATAGATATTCAGCCGGTGTTCACAACTTTTTCTTCATGTGTGTAAGAGATGCAATTTAAATATACACCTTGAAAACTGCAAACATATCTACTTCATGTTTTTATGTTTGTTAAATTCTCAGTAGTGATAATAAATGATGCTTATTATACATATTACAAACAAAACACTTTAAAAACTCTTAAGAAAATAATTTAAATGAATCATTTCTTTTTTCTTGGCATTTTGGTCAGACACGTATGCAACGCTGATTACCGTAATATGTGTGGTATTTGTTATAAATGTACGTCGGTACATAGAGGGTGATCAGAAGCTGTTGTGCCCCTGCCATCACGATGAGTTAGCTTTAAAATGATAAAATTAAAACTGTTCAAATGTCTGGTTGTTGCACGTTTTGAATCAATATTCCAACAGCAAGTTCTACAGAATTCAGACAGGATCACTACCTCTTCAGAGCTGCAGGTGTTTCAGCTTAATGATGGATCGTGTGAACTGGTTACCTTTAGTGGAATGCGTCCGTGGTTGCTCGTAGTAACCAGACGGCAACCTCCGATTCTGAAAAGTCAAGCCGATGCAGCAAAGTGCTTTAAACTTGCATGTTCTCTACTGGCTAGCAGGGGCTCCTCCTCCGGTTGCAAAAATAAGTCCGATTCTATGGAAGTCTAAAGTGGAGTCATTTTCATGGCAGAAAATGACTCTACGCTACCGCTACCAGAGCCATATACGGCGTCTCTACGTCACTCCTCCGTGGTAAATCGTATCGTGGGCCCCTTGCTTATGTATTCTACCGAGTCACTAATGGCTCACAGATCTGGAAACACAGTTTGTTAGGTTGCATTCACGATCTCCAGTGGTTGATGTTGTTGCATAGCTTGACACGCTGTTGCACTCTCCTGTATTTCCGTTGCTAAACATCGTGTGCACACTTCCATACGTCAATATTTACAAACCTGTAAAAGGGTCTTCTGTGCCCAAGATTTAATTATATATTTTTACAATTGAACCCGTTCAGATCGCCCAACCATGCCAATGGACATCGCTTTTCTAAGGTAGGGTATCTAGATCTATAATTACTGTCATCTTATTTGATGTGATTTCTATAAAGTAATCAGAGTGTTCCACATCATCTGTTGCGTAAGAATAGTGTGCACACTCTGTCATTTTGACTACTTGAACCTGCCTTGAATTAGTCTGATTTTGTGGTTCTGCTTCAGCCTGATTTATTAGGTTCATTCAAGTCAAGTTTTGGACTTTAAGCCCCACTGTTTAGCTTGTTTTATGGACCGGGCCCCCGGTGGAAAGAAGTGCAAAATGTGCCTCCTTTTGGCTCTGTTTTCTGTGTCCGTTGGTTCCTACGTTACTTGGTGTTTATCTTGCTAGAGGCTCTACTGCATTATCTTCACCAGCCACCCTGTAATGCTGTCTCTCTGCCCTGCTGAGCAGTATGTTTATCAGAGTTTATGTCCTGTCTGCTGGGGTCCAGGAGTGGCTCAGACTCAACTATTATATTATATTATATTTATACATGTGTAAAAAAATAAGCCATGAATTCAAAACAATGCTAAAAAGTTTCATAGAGCAGAGCTGAGTTCTAACACTCCACTGAGGAGTAGAAAGTGGTAACTGGACTGTACTTGTATTTCTCTTGTCTAGTCTTCTGACCACTCAAAGTTCTTCAACACTACATGTCATCATTCACCCATTCACACCCATTCACACACTGATGACAGGAGCTACCATGCAAGGTGCACCTGCTCATCAGGACTAAACATTCACAGCCATAGACATGACACACAAGTTATTATGTATGTGTATAGTTCTTATTGAATCAACATGAGGGATAAATTAACTAGAAGTTTGAAGCGCTTCTTTCTTTCACTGCGGTGCCATACGGTATATTAAACTCTTCGTCACTTTCTCTGTAGGTGCCAGAATCGAAGAGTTTCTCTATGAAAAGTTAGACAGGAAGGCACCGTCCAGAATGACCAATGGAGAGCTGCTGGGTCAATATATGCTGGATGCATCAAAGGAGTTTGGTCCTGGAACTCCATATGGTGAGTATGCATCCAGTTGTAATGTATGTTTTGATGCATTACAATGTCTTGAAAGGAGTAGACCTGTGTTGTATGTTTTATGAAGTCGTGTACTTGCATTATCCCAAATGTTTCCAACAATTTTCAAACCCAGAGATATAAGTAGTTTTAATCACGGTAACGTTCCGTTTCATTTGGCCGCCTGTCAATCGCTTCGTATCCCCTTTGCCCATGCATCAGCTCTGTGGTTGTACCAATAACCAAACGATAAACTAAGTCTCATAATTAGTGTTCACTCACAGTGTCAACAGTCAAAGTACTATTACACATTCAGAGTGAAAGAACAGGTTTAAATCCGAGCAACAGACCACATATCCAGCTATAGTCACAATACATGCACAGTAATCAGACAGCTGCTCTTTAAAGTACAACAGAGTTTATTAAGCTCCAATAATAATGATCTAGTCAACTAATATCTAAACTAACAACAACTACACATTTATGAGCACGCTATCTAAAATCAACGTGTGTGTGTGTGTGGGGGTGGGTGGGTGGAGGAGCGAGAGAACAGCTCAGACAACGTATGATATAACCTGAAACATGGCGTCGTCTCTCGCGAGACCACAAGATGACGCAAGACTCTACAATGGCGGTAGACAATAGAGACCTCACTATGTACACGTGTCTGAAGCCGTTAGCGCAACCCTGGAGCTACATTAGCTTAAAGCTATATGTGTGTGTGTGTGTGTGGGGGTTAGTAAAAGAAGAGAGAAAGCAAACGGAACAAAAGGAGTCCTCCAAAAACAGATTAAGATCCTCTGCGCCGCGGTGGAGTACGGAAGATTGTCCTCTCAGCTACAGAAACACAGCCGGCAACTCTTTGATCGCACGGCCGCGGTTCTGACCTCTGAACTGATGAGAAACAACTTCCACCTCCGCGAGCGGTGAATTATCTCAACACGACAGTAGCATGACATACACAGTAACTTCTACACAACATTAACTATCGGCGATTATTGAGCATACACCACATTATAAAAATGACAGTAACTTAAGCGACACAAACAAGATAATAACACAATAACCTGACTCTGCCCAGACTCTATTCGCCTCACTATGAGGTGGTTGAAGATGTGGTCCTCCTGAGTTTGTCGGTGGAACTCAGGCAGTGCAGCGCAATAGATTCTCCTGGTGAATTTCTTCAGCTCAGTGAGGGAACTCCCGTCCTTACGGCTAGCACAAAGTCGAGTTGGGTGGAGAGGAGAAATGTGCTTCTCTCTCTGAAGAGTCGGTCTCTTCACTTCTGCAGGTGCTACTTCAGGGCCTTGTCTCATAGAAAGGCATAAACTAGAGTATCTATACCCATACTGCACCTGCAGAAGACATTTTAAGGCCTGGGAGAAGAGTGGAATTTGAAAAGAAGACTTTGTGGTGAATAGATGTGAATAATCTGTTTCTTGCAGGGAGTACTTTGAGCGAGGTGGGGGAATGTGAGAGAAGATTAGGAACAGCAGAGAGGGAGTTCCTCCAGACGTCCGCTATAAGCTTTCTCACTCCGCTCAGGAATTTTCTGGAAGGAGACTGGAGGACCATTTCAGTGAGTCTGAAACACTACATGCACTCTACTAACGGTAGACATGTTGAAGTCATCATTTCATTTGGTGTTTTAGTACAAAGCTGTTGTCTGCTGACTGTCCTGCAGACTGTTCTGTGGCAGCAGTTATTAGTCAAGGCTCAGTTTCATCCCCCTGTCACCCACACAAAGGGATTAGACCTGCACTTGGACATGTATGGGTTCTCAAGGTAAAAGAAATTCTCTCCATTACATAAATATTGTCAATCCATTCTTCAACACCAGCTATTTCTTAGTAGTGATTTCTTACAAGCCACCAATAGTATTCCAGTTTAATCAGGTAATTCAGCTCACAAAGTATTTGGGTTAAGAAGACAGTTTCCAGGATGATTTTAGTCCAGAATGAAGCCACTGAAGGACAACTCTAAAATACATGACAGTGATGTATTACTGTAAGTTGATGAAGGCTTAAGTATAGATTAGAAATGTACTTATTCAAATGTTCGTTATGTTCTCTGTTAAACATCTGGACTAGCTCAGTTTCTACTCTCACATTTTTGTTATTTTTTTGTTTCTGCTGTTGATTTGTTCGTGTATAAAATGGTCTTTAACTGAATCTGAGTCCTTAAGCTCCCGAGTCCTCCGTCCTCGGGCTTCTTTCCTCTGGCTTTGAGACTTCTTCACTCATCCTCCATATATAATATAGGGTTTTTTGTATTTTTCATATGTAGCAAAATGTGACTACAATCTGCATTTCGTTGTGCAGCCCTGCTGTAACATTGTATCATGACTTATGAGGAGATGGTAGGCTGTGAGCCCACCGGAGGCCAAGAGCTGCCTCATAGGCAAACAATTTAAGAATGTCGGCTGCCTTCTTCAGATGGAACTGTTGAAGTGTTACCTGCCACATCTATAGTGGACTACTAACCCAGGGGATACTGTTATCTTTCCATCTAGCTTCAGAGTATTAATGGCCGTAGTTGGGCTACTAAAGCCTGAATTATCTGTCGTCTTCTTTTAATGTAAATGAATCCTGTTTGATCTCGGAGGTTCATAATCTGAGCCATAACCGTTTCTATTCTTTTAAGCGGGAGGGAAGTGACACGTCTGTAGTCTGGAGTTAGTCCATTTACTGGTCTGTAGTTTGTACAGTCCAACGTATCTTTGTTTAGGTTTAGGTATGACGGATATAGTTCTCCATGAAGATGGTATTTCACCCTCTAACCAGACCGAACTAATTATCTTTAACATAATGACATGTCAGCTTTAATGCCATTCTGAGGTGATCACGTCACGTCACGTCTGTGCCTGTGAATTCATTTGCTTTAGGTCTGAGTGTGGGTCATATAGGGGAGCAGGGGTTTTGTTTTTAGACATTTACAAAGATGCTTCTGTGGAAACGTTGGGATCTGGCAGAGTGTGAAGACGAGAGTGTAGATTGTTCTTAATGTGTTAATGAGTTGTGACGTAGCTACAGAGCATGTAGAAAGTATAAATCCACTTTAGAGGTTCAGAAGTTGTGGTTAAAACACAACCTGCAATATGCTTAAATATTGAATTTAACAGTTTACAGCCCACAAGTGAAAAGAATAAGAATTCAAACCTTTTCTCCATAAAATGTGAACTTAACCACCAGAGGTCAGCGTGTTGTTCAGCACATCTTTGGAAGCCTGTGGCGGTTCATCCACGGGCCCGTTGTAGCCTGCTTTGACTGCTGTGGATTACGTGGTCGTGGATGCTCTCGGCTCAGCTTCCCCCCGGGTCACTGTCTGTATTTCAGAAAGAAAGACGTCTTCTGGAGAACCTTCGCTTGGACCTGGACTCCTGTAAAGCCCGTCTGAAGAAGGCCAAGGTGGCCGAGGCCAAGGCTGCGGTGAGTCCCGTCGAGCCTCCCAACCCACAGCCACAATGTCACACAACATTTGGTGGTGCTGCCACTGACCACGACTAACTGCCTGTGTATTCATAACCTTTGCAGTGCGATGGTGAAGTGAGTATTACATCATTTTAAAGACTTTCAGTAGGATGCACACATTGGGCAGTTTTTCCTGTCTCACTTGCTGTGAGAACATCTGTTGTGCCGTTTAGTAATTGGTGACAAACTATTAATCATTGGTTTAAAAAAAGCTCAGCGATGGACTGGAAAAACAAGTTTGACCCAAAGTGGACTCTTTGCAGAGAAAGCTTGAAACTGTGAAACCGTGGCATATTCAACAATATAATGGGAGATCAACAGCAGCCATTGAACAAATTCAGCAAAATATTGGGCTTATGAGATTCTATTCTGATAGTCAATCGTTTTTTAACAAGTCACTAGGGTCTAATGGTTTATTGAACTGCATCACAACAAGGTTAATGTCTCATTATTCTACAGTCTGTGTGGATGAACTCTGCTGACTGATCTCTGCCGTGTCATCTGCTCAGATCTGTGTGTTCAAAGCATTTTCATTTATTTGTTATAATTAACTTATTCATGAGTGTCTGTTGAACATTGACTTATAACAATATTTGTTACAAGCTGAAACTTTTTATATTTTACTATTTACTATATTTTCTTTGAATAGAGATTAAAGCACATCATCAGTATTTGAGATTTGGATCATGAATTAGCAATATATATACATATATTAGTAATTATGCACTTGGGTTTCACCAACAAGGATTTATGTTCTAAAGCAGATTAAATCCTGTTCTTAAAGATGCATTTAAATCTCTTTAAACTTTAGTTTAGTTGTTACTCTAAACTTACATTTCATTCCATTGCACTAAACTTTAAACTGTCATTTAAAATGTGACCCAGTATTAACTTTAGACTTACACTTGAGGAGGTTGAACGTTTAAAATGGACTGAGCTAAATAATGACGTTCCTTGAAGAGAGTTTAAGGAGAAACTCATCAAACTGAGTTTAGTGCTGCTGCTGCTGAGTTTCTCTCCTGAGATCAGTTGAAAACAGGACGATTGGACCAACAGACTGTGAGAAAGGTGGTTTCCTCACTGTGCTGTTTATTTGTTATGATTTGGCCATATTGCTTAATTAATCTGAACATTAAGTAGTTCTCAAAGGAGGAGAAATCAGAGCATCATGAGTAACGTCGAGCTAACTAACAGTGAACAGTGTAACGTTTTGTTAAGGAATATAAAGCAGTCCGACCGCTCATAGCTAACTCACTAGGCCCCAACAGCACCAAATGTATTTATTTATGTATTCATTTTGGATAAGCAAGCATCTCCATATTATATCCATATTGAGTAAACACGATTTCATTTACTAAACAGAAATGAGTTTTGATTTGTGCTAAATAAAATCTAGATTTACTCATTTTTAAATCTAGTTTAGCTGAACTCTGAATATAACTAATCTCAGATTAAATGAAACCTTGATGGTAAAACCCATTGTTAGTGACAGGCCTTAGGAGACAGACTAAGGAAAAAGACAATGGCAATCCTTTTCTTTTTCAAGATTCAGCCTCCTTCTGATTAACGCTCATGTTTTGGACTGAATGTGACATTTTGTTAAAAATAGAACTATGTTGTTAAATACAGATTGATGACAGTACTCCGTTCATTAGGGCTTTACTACTCAAGGATTAGTGGACCTGTAGAATAATAGAAATGTGGCCTTGTACCAAAACAAATTATTCCTTTCTTCTCTGGAAAATGGGTTCAAAACACCATTAGACCGAGAACCAGTTCCACTCTGCTGCTCAGACGTCTTCAGACCGACTACATGATATTGTGTTTTGCCAGCAGGTGGTTGTGCAGCGCCGTCAGCCAGAGGCACAAAGACGTTGTGCTTCAGTCTGACTGTTGTGAATTATGCAACTTTGTTTCCACTGCTCGAGTACAAATTAAGTCATCGTCCTGAAATAGAAATCCTAATTCATAGAGTTCCTTCCCCATTTCACTTTGTTCTGTGAGTGATTGTGCCGTCACTCTGCTTCTTTATTTAACTGTTCAACAGAATGAAAGTCTGACTTTTATCAGAACTTTTGTTTTCAATGTGAAAGAAGTCACACATTTCGTTGACTGACGATGTCAGACTTTTGCCACCTGTATGCATGTTAGCATGCGCATGATAACCTACTGCTTAAAGCGTGTAATGTGGATGACTCCTGTCTACAGTGCACAGATTAGTCACTGGTTTCAGTAGCGCTGGAGAGGATGTTTAGATACAGTGTGTTGCATCACCTCTCTGCACCTTTCTATTATGAGCTCAGCAGACACTCCTAAGGCTGCAATCCATCTCTCCCCTCTTTGCTATTGGTCGGGATAACTCTTTCGTTTTATGCAATTGTAAACTCACAATTCCTGAATCGAGGGCCCTCTTTGTCCAATTCCTACACTCAAAAACCAAATAAGCATAAAATACTAAATATCTCCAATACATCTCTTGCAAACACTTCATCACACCTTTACACTCAAACACCAAATACATACGTAGCTCTTACCACATGCTATCTGCCCACTGTGCTGAGTATACAACACTTTTGTATAACAGAATCATACACAAAGACTTTACCTGAAGATGACATGAACATAGTTACTGTACTCTACACAAAATACAATAGATTGGCCTCCATTGTTGGGCACACCAAAGAGCAAACCTGAATCCTATTTATAGGGTTTAAGCTTTCTCAGTGATCTAATTGGTTACAGGTGTTTTCACAGGTGCATTCTGGGTGCAGGGGACTGATAGTTGGGTATGGCATTTCAATGGCAGAGTTTAGAAAACAACACACACACACACACATGCTTCTTTAGTTTTGAACGTCTTATCTAATGTAGATAACTGTGTGTAGTTGTTTTTTGGGATTTCAAACTTGGTGTAAAGCAGATAATGAGTTGACCTGATAAATAGATGGGCTACATGAGTTAGAGCTGTCAGTAAATGTGCCACAAGGTTTTGTGTCTTGGCAATTGCAAGAAACTGAATTATCAGCCCTGATATTAATCCACAGATTGACCATTTGACAGTGATAAGGGCCGTTGTGTAGCTCAGCAACGTCATGGTTTCATGTCTGCTGTGCTTTCTGATTGTTGTGTCTGCACTCTTGATGCTTAGTGTGTTCTGAAGTATGGGTGCCGTGTAGTATGAATGTTAAATAACCTTATTGTTTCCGTAGATGGCACCAGATTTTCAGGAGACCAGACCCCGCAACTATGTGCTTTCTGCCAGTGCCTCTGCGGTAAGGAGACAACTATGTTTCACTAAACAGAGCTGGACATGTACAACCATGTACCAAATACTGGAACCTCATCAGGTTCTGTGTACCGAGTGCTTTAAAACTGAGGTTCTTACAATGAGGTCATTGGCTGTGAAAGGCCACCTGGAGTGGGTGGGAGGATCACATACCCTTTTATTATGGCTCTTCATTGTGGTTCTTAATGCAATGTTCAAGTATACGTACTAAGTGTTAAATGAAATATGCTCTGAATGTGTGCATCCTCTGATCCTCTGCAGAGAGCGGCAGTTGTTGTCACACTGGCACCATGTGGTCCATAGGAACTTCTCAATCATGCACATGCTCAGTATTTTTCTGACTAATTGTTTGGTCATCGTTCAGTGCACTACTTGTGGCGGAGCTTCAGAGCCATAAGAGATATTAAGAAGTGATCCGGAACACAAAAGCGGTGTGTTGAGCTAAGAGAGAAGCTAGCGGGAAACCCTGTGTCTGGAACATAAACGCAAAGTCGACTCATGTCCGTCCTGTAAACTTGTCGATGCTGTCGTCCATCTGGAACTAGCTGTCTGACTGCGTCATGACCTCCTGTGTATTTCTGTGGGGCTCAGATGTAGAACCGGTAGTGAGCTAATACTGGCCGATGTATTGGAGTCGCTCTAATCGAAAGACACGTTCCATGTCTGTTGGATGTTCCCGCTCATTTTGGCCATCTTTTCAAAAAAGGGAATAAACTTTGTCAAGAATGAATTTGGCACTTTCACGCTGCTCTTATTGTCTGGTGAGAGACGAGGGCAACAATTTGACTTTTATTTGAAATCAAAATGGCTACAAAATGTGCACTATTCACATCAAATGAATTACAGCAATAGCCCATAAATCAAATCTGCTCATATGTAGGCCTATAAACAAATGAATGAATACATAAACAGACTGTAGTCTAGGCAAACATATACAACAAAAGTTTGCTATGTCAGTCTATCGTGTGCTCACACACACACACACACTATATCCGTCTGAGGATAGCATTATAACTAATATTGGTGTATAATGAATAATGTGAGGTTATTTTTCCTTTTTTGGGATTTGGGAGGTAAAAAACAAACTGCGATGCCTCGGTACTGATTCAGACGTCAATTAGCACGTTATTTCAAACAATGACATTTTTAACATTCCACAGGGCATGGAACTAGGATGGGAACTTCCAAAACTGAGTCAACACTGACTAGACTTCAGCTTCAAATGCATGCCACAAAACATAAGTCATCCTAGGAACTAAGCCTGCCAAACAAAGATGTCTGAAATAGTCAGAATCAAATTACAAAACCAACATTAGTCAGCATAGATTCTGTCTCAAGCCCAACACAGAAGCTCAAGAATGCACGGACGGAAAAAGGAAACGCAGTGAGTGACCGGCAGCTGCATACGTCAGTCATCGGTTCGAGGAAAACTCATTTTTTCCGACATTTACTGAACCATGACGATACGTATGACTCCTTCCACTACTGACAGGATGTCTTAAACAATGGCTTTTGCATTTAGGCATCACACTAGTGAAGGTCTTCTGGGAGATCCTTGTTATAACTAACTGCATATTTCTCTCTGCTTCTCTTGCTGTATGCTTTGGCCTCTCAGCTCTGGAGTGAGGAGGTGGAAAAAGTAAGTATGTCAGTGTTTGTCTTGCTTCCTGGTCTCCAGGATCAGTACGTCTCTAATGGACCCGGTCACACCATATGTTGTCCAGCCTCGTCTAAGTACTTATACGTGTTTGGATTGGTCACATTAAAAGGCACATTCACAACACCAAAGATTGTAATAACCCACATTGATAATGACCCACACGTACTCTGTTGCTAGGAGCCTTTCAGACAATCTGACGAGCACTTAGTCTGAAGCATCCTGAGGCCTTGATTCCCATTCTATGGATCCAACACCTACCCATCAGGTTTCACTCTTATCACTCTTACAGTGCCCAAACAATCCAGTAGTACAAAACAACTGAAGTCTGCCCTGATGAGCGCTGCTTGATATACTGTATATTACATAAACACTTCCTGCCTATACAACAGTTAAATCACCAGGCTCATCATTACTCATTACCAGGCATTCTTTAGCATGTCTCCAGACTCAAGTATCCCAAGGGACATGAAGGACATGTGTCACTAATACTCTTCCTGTTGTTTCAGGCTGAACATGAGCTCCGAGTGGCCCAAACAGAGTTTGACCGCCAAGCAGAGGTTACACGGCTGCTTTTGGAGGGCATCAGTAGTACACATGTAGGTCAGCCATACAGCCCTCCACACACACACACACTCTCTCTCTCTCTCTCTCTCTCTCTCTCTCTCTCTCTCTCTCTCTC